ATTGTTTATTTTCTTAAATTGTTTTCAACTTTTTTAAAGTATTATTGATTTTTTAAGAAATTTTACTTATTTCAATTTGATTTTAAATTTTTAGTAATACAACATTACCTAGTATGTAATTAATGAATATGAAATATATTAATAACAAGATATAAACAAGTTTTTATTGAATATATTCATATGATTTAATGATATTATTGATAATTAAAAAAGTTGATTGATATTTTATTTTGATTTTATATTTTAATTGAATTAATCTATATATTAAGCATTCTAAAGTCAATAAGATATAAGCACAAGTTTTCAGTTTATAAAAAAGTTATTAATTATTTAAGTAAAATTTTTTTCTTTTAATATTCCAATCAAACAAAATTCAAATTAAGGTTTTTTTTTTTATTTTAATTAAATAATAAGATTAAATGATCTTTGATTTATACTAAGTTTTAATTTATTCAGGAGGAAAAGGACCTCCATTCATTTATATATGAACCAAACAAAACAAGACTAAGAGAAAGATTTACAAAATTCCTCACAGAGGAATGTGCAGCCAGAGCAGATAGCAAGAAGCAAACAGAAAACATAAAAGACAGATAAAAAAACAACAATTATAACAGAAAAAAACAAACAGAGTTGACAAAGTGAGATGGATCAATATCATCAGAGGAGTTATTACACACAATATGAGGAAGACAGCAGAGGAAATTATAGGAGACGAGAAGGCTGCCAAGACAGTATTGAAAACAGCTACAACATAATTCTGGCAAGAGAAATGAAAGATATGGAAATTAAGATATGAGCTAGTAATAGAGTGGGAAAAATCGCAATGAATTACCAGGAGAAAAAAGAGGAAAAAAATAAAGAACCACAAGGTAAAAGAGCAGAAAGATATAGCATAAGAAAGCAGGAACCTTTCTCATGATTAGAGATATCTTTATATAGACCTAACCAACCATAGTATGAGAAATATACTTAAAAACAGATACACATCAAACTTAATTTTTTCTATAAATTTCAGTATTAGTGGAGTTATAATACACTAATATTCACTCTTCAGTGGACTGTAGCAAGTCGTAGGGTTCTTTCAGATACTAAGTCATTAGTTTTTTCTCTATCTAAATTTATTTTCTCACAATTCAATTTGTGTATGTAGGAAAAGTAATTTTTAATTAAATAAAAATTATATAGCATGATTTCACCAGCTTAAAAAAAAAAAAAAGTTTTAATTTATTAATTATAGTTAAAAATATATTTTCTTTAAAATTATAAAAAAACATTATAATTAATAAAAATCTCTATCACTATTTAAAATACTTTTATTATTATAAGACAAAAAGATTGTGACTTTTTAAGTAATGAAAAATATTTTCTAATAAATTTTCTTTGATTAAATACAGTTATTAAAAAATATATATTATATTAAAATAATATATATTTTTTTTTAAGTACCTGTAGCCAGGCTTGCTTATCAGTTTATTAATCAATTGAAAACATAAGTATATTTTCATTTAAGCAGTATAATACATACTATAGCTAAACTATTATTCTAATTTAACTGACTCGTCTTAAGTATAAAAGTCTCTAAGTTCAGTTTTGAGGACAATATTTCACTTCACAGTGTCTTTGGATGAAAACCCTTATAGTCTACTGCATTATTGCCAGCAGGTTGTCACTACTATATGTCATACCAAGCCACTGGAATACAGAAAACTACAAAAGAATAGATTGAAAAAGGGAAAAAGGGATATCTAAAAATGTCTAAATAGACAATAAGAAAATGAAAAAGTAAAATTCGAAAAAAAATATATTTCCAGCTTCTTCCAAAAACCTGTTTCTCAAGATCTCTTCTCAATAAAAAATGTTTAATTGTGATATTCTTTCTTTTCTTGATTATCTAAAGAACTTATCTATTCTTGATCTTGATTTCCTTTTTGTGTATTGTCTAAGAAGACTTATCACCTAGTGAGAGCTTTTACTTCCAAGACATACTTAGTTCCAATTTTCTTTGGGCAGTGGTTTTTTATCCACCTGTGATAAAGAGATAACTTATAATAGATCCCAAGTTCTTATGTGATCTAGTAGGGACTAGGTCATATTGTTTAGTGTGATATCTTCCAGCAACTATACTTAATTAAAGGAATTTTACTGGTATATATCTTCTATTATCCAAAAGGTCAGATTCCTCAATAATCCTTTTGTCTTGCTTGTAATAGTGAGAGATCTCAAGAGTGGTGGGAATCCTCATAGATTGCGATATTCTTCAATAACTTCTAGGGAAATTCATTCTCAATTATAACCAAAGAATTGAAGCTTAGTATAAACTAGAGACCATTCAATCTTATTGCCTGACTGAAATAAGAGGGAAACCTTGGTCTTGAACTTTGCCTGATCAGGATAATAGGAGAGAAAGACCTTAGCTTGAATGAATAGTAGCTTTTTTATCACCTAAAAACTTGTTGCTTGTATCTTATTAATCTCATGGAACTTGATTTATAGGTAAAGATAGGTTCTTAAAGAGGAAGAAAAGAACAAAAGTCAAATATTACTCATAGGAAAATTTAAAATTTTTAAATTAATAACTATAAAAAAACTACCCACAATTGTTCTCTATTATCTAAATCATTGATTTATAATATTTCCTGACTTTTGTCCCTATTAAAGTAAAGAGCTAGGAATTTTGTTTTTTAAAAAGAGACATAAGTGATCTGTGAAATTTTATATGTCAAATACTTTAAGAACCTATCATTATCTGTAGGTTAATTCAATTAAAGGAGAAGAGTGAACATGGGACACTAATTAATTCTTTCTATCACCAATGACTATATCAGAACACATAAGATGACCAATAGGAGTTTGTTTATATATAGTCACTAACGTATTTTGTGTCAATCAATCAGATGCCAGGTAACATTGTACTATTAGAAATCCAGGGTCAAACTGAGATAGGCAAAATTTCTCAAGAAAGCCATGAAAAATAGTAAATACTTTAAGAGAGTACAAGACAGTATATGAGAAGGTGGATAATAAACCTTTCTCTATCAATAAAACCTCTATTTCTTGTCACTTCTAGCTTTATACGGTGATACTCTACTTGTCAGTCCTTTTACTTCCTAAAATCTTCTTGCTCTTAGTAGAAGAAGTGTGTACTTGAGTCTTTTCAGATCACTAGAGGTTCAAGTTTTTATTCAAAGGAGTTTATAAATAAGTATGGAAGAGTAAAAGAGATATATGAAGACAAGCTTCAAGTTGTTTTAATAAAAGTGTAAAAACTTTATTAGTAAAGAAGTATAAAACTTCTTGCGAACATCTTTTTTGTTTGTGATCAGAGGATCAATAGAAAGAGTTTTATTTTTTACTATATTATATTAAAATAATATAATAAATTATTTTTTTATTATAAATAAATATAAAATTACTGTTCAAAAAAAGTTGAAATTAGATATATCTCTTGAAATAAAGATTTTTAATATGCAATAAGTTTTCTTAAATAGTATATCAAAAAAAAAATTAAAGTTCTAAATAAATAAGTTTTACAAATAGTTAAAAAAAAAAAGGATATCTCAATAGAATATTTTTTATTAAAAAATTTTTTAAAAAATAAATTTTTGAAGATAGTTAAAGATTTTATTTTATTTTTATTTTCTTACTGTATAATATATTTATATATTATATACTGTATATACTGTATATATCTTTTTAACCCTTTCTTTTCTAATTTTTTGTATTTCAATAGCTTGCCAGAATATATAGCAATAATAATATATCAACAATAATATAGTATATAAACTAGAAGAATCTTTATTCAAAGTTTATTATGAAATAAAATATTGTTTCCAAGGTTAAACTTAGAAACTATTATTGTCTATAATAAGTTAAATTGATTTGTGAAAGTTTGATTATAGTATATATTTTATTACTTAAATAATAATGCATTTCTGTTTTTTATTGATTAATAAATTACAATCTAATCTAGTTATAAATATTACAAAAAAAAAAAAACTAGAGTTTTATTTTGTATCTTTTAATCTTTATTAATAAAATTAATAATAATAATTAAAAATGTTTTTTATTAAAACTAATGTCTAAACGTCAATATAAATAAAATTTAGCTTTCTATTTTTACAATATTTTTTGTATCCTTTTTTGACAATAAAAATAAATTTTATTATATTAATCTTGATAAAAATAGTAGAAAGTATTTTTGCATTATTAAATAATACTCGTATGAATTTTAAAAAAAAAGTCAATTCTTAGATAATTGTAAAAAGCTACTGATTTATAACAATCCAATGAACAAGTTTTTTTTATTTTTGTTGAATAATATAGTTATTAAATATACTGTAAATTGATAACTTTAAAAAAGTTTACTAAAATTTAATATTAAAAGAGAAGATAATAACTGTTGAAATTTTTTTGTGTAAAGATTTTATGAAAAAAATCTTTATAAGAATAGATCTAACATATGTTTTATTGCATTACCATTTATTTAGCATTACTAGGTAGACGAAAGGTGAGGTTCCTGGATAATAACCCACTGGAATTTATCATGTACAAAAATCGAATTAGTGATTACGGATTTTCTGTTTCGCACAAGGCAGAAACCTAATTATTTTATATTTAAAATTTGAAGGTCATTCACGTCGGGCTCTTCGCAGAAGTGTGTTTGTGCAATAACGGAAGCGATTGGAGATGCTCGCTTTACAAAACTAAATTATTTTCGTTTCGGAACATTTTTTCGCCAGTCTTCTATGTATCTATGCAATGGAATGCGACTTCAAAGTTAATATCTTCAATATAAATTTCCCTCACGAATTATTTATTTAAAGTAATTCGGGCGCAACAAGCTTGAAAATCTTTAAAGACCAAGTTAACTTTTTATCTTATAACTAATTGGAAAACGTTATGCAAATCAAATTGGAAGAGTTCTCGATAGTGATTTGCGAGCAAAAAACAGAAATTATGTCCGATCATCTATAAAATGATCTTTGCTCTTTCACTCCGTAATGTACGAACAAGAAAGTTTGTACGCGCAACATGCTTACGGAAAGCTTTCTAAAGTCCGTTTTTCTACTTCTCCAGGGACATTTAGCGACAAGAATATATTATTCGCCACAGGAACTTGGGATGAACTAAAGGTAATGTTTAAAGTGCGTATTGACATGATTTATTTATTTAAAAAGTTTGCTTCTTTAGAGTAACACGTTAACGATATGGAGTCTAGAGGAAGCATCAATTAGTTTAGATAATTCTTTCCCTTCTTTCAATAATAAAATTGTCGCAAAGACTAGTCATAAAGGAGACGTGACTGATATGCAGTTTAGTGGCAGTATTTTATTTACATCTTCCTCAGAGGGAGATTTTAACGCGTTCAAATGCATACAGGTAAAAGTTTCCATTATTTCGAGCTTTAATAACCATTATTTAATTAATATACAATAATTATTTTTTAGTCTGAACGTGAAGTAGAAGCTGATCTGGATTATGCTATAGAACCTCAAATATATTATAATTACACGTTGCAGACGATCATAACACACCGATTACATAGATTTTCGGAAAGCGAAAATGCGTCTGCCACCGGTATTGCAATTAGACCCAACAGCGAAAGTGATCCCGAAATTGTCAGTGTTGGAGAAGATGGTCGGCTTATACTTTTTAAGCTTACTGAACTCGAGCAGCTTCAGATCGTAGGTAAATGATTCGAAATCATCATATTTGTCATTCTCATATTACTCACTAAATCAAATAAATGGTTCTTAGATACCGCAGATACCTCTGGTTTCAAGGCAGTTGCATGGCCGTCATCGGATCAAATAGTAAAATTTCAAAGTCCTTGTCATTCTTTCTACGAAATTAAAGTTTACTTGAACCTTGTATTTTAATAGATTACAATCGGTATATCTGGACAATTAAGACTCTTTGATCGACGAGAATACAGAAAGCCTGCGATATTTTATGAGTATGCGCCTTATTTCAGTTTTTTTTTCATGATTTCTAGAGATTTAATGATTTCTGGTTTATTTAGCCCAGTTCACCCAAGAGATTCGCTTAATTGTTTAGCTGTCAATCCGTCTCAAGTAAGGTCTAAACCCTTTATGCATATAAGATGATTGCTTAAAAAGTTTTTCTTACGTTCGTAGGTGAGTCAAATCGCCACGGGTAGCACGGAAGGTTTCGTGACTACCTGGGATATCCGCGATTGTTCTGGACCTTTAAAACAAATGCGTCCGCATGAAACACACGGTACATAACATCTAATTTATTAACATGGAAGATTTTGTGAAACTTTAACACCATTATTATTTTTCCTAATCACAGTATATGAGTTGATGTTTCATCCATATCGTCCAGCTTTTCTTTTTAGTTGCTCGGAAGGTAAGTTTATTTACATATTGATCAAAAGGATTATGTTGTTAAACCTAATTGTACGGCAAATCGACTCTTTTAGATGGAACAATAGGAGTCACGAATTTGAACTCGTCACCTATGGAAGGTTTTAGAGATCAAGGAATGGCAAGGGAGAATGTCGTGAGTCATAAATATAGCTATGAGTATAGCGACCTTGCTATCAACTCAATTGATTATCATCCTCTTGCCAAAATGTTAATTGGCGGAGGAGACGGACAAAATTTATTTTCGATGAGGCTCGATCGCTAATAATATAATTTTAAAAATTAGAATTATATATTTTCGTCTGATGAACTTTTATATTCATATTCATTTAATGCCCAACCTAAATTTGAAATCTTGACATATTTTAATGAATTACGTCAAAACGGTTGATGTACCGTTTTGTAATTCCAAGAATCGCATTAGTCTCCCTGAAGGGTTTCAAGTAGTTAACATAGATTTTTATGCATGTCTTTAGTATATATTTTTTTCTTATTTGAAACTAAAAAAAAAATTCTTTTTAAATCTGCAATTATGACTTATGGTGTTTTATTGAAGCATTAATAAATATTTATAATACTGTATTATATTGACTTTCTTATAATAATTTTTATTATTGTACATTATAAGTTAAAGAATTATATTACTTAAAAAATGAGAAGTTTATTAAGCTAGTTTGGATCAAACAAAACAAAGTTTAAATTAGATACCCTAGATTAAATTTCAGAAACAATATTTTATTTCTTTAATAGATTAATACTAGATTTTTATTTGTCTGATTATCATCAATTTTTTATTATAAATTATTTAGAAAAATAATAGATTTTCAAATTAAAAAATATTAAAAAGAAAAAAAAAACAATTTAAAGTTTTTATAAAAATTTTAATCAATTTAATAATTTTTTTTCAAAAAAATTTTGTATAAATAAAATATTTTTTAATTTTAAATCATTTATAAAACTTAAATATTTTTAAATAATAAAAATTTTTTAAGAAGCTTCCTTAACTATTATATAAATACTTATTATATCTACTATATTAATATTATATTGAAAAAGTAATTTATAAAAACTCTTTCTACTAATCCTCTGATTATATACAAAAAAGACATTTGCAAGAAGTTTTTATATTTCTTGACTAATAAAATCTTCACATTTTCCTTAAAACAATGTGAAATTTATCTTTGAAAGTCATTATTACCTTCTCTCACTTGTTTACAAACTTTTTTAAACAAAAAACTTGAGCAACTGAAAGCTTAAAAAGACTCAAGCACGTATTTCTTCTATTAAAGGCAAAAAGATTCTAGAAAGTAAAAGGACCAACTAGTAGAGTACCATCTCTCAAAACTGGATGAAATATGGAGATAAAGGTTTTCTAGATAGGAAAAGGTTTATTATTCACCTTCTCACATACTGTCTCTTGTTCTTTTAAAGTATCTATAGTTTTTTACAGTTTTTTTGAAAAATTTTACCTACTTTAACTTGACTCTAAATTTTTAATAACACAATGTTATCTGACTTTTGATTGATTGCCATGAAATACATTGATAGCAAAATGTAAACAAGATTCTATTGACTATATCTACATGTTTTGATGATGACATTGATGAAAGAAAGAGAAATCAAGAATATGAACTTCTTTACTTCTTCAAATAAAGTTTAACTGAAGCAAAAAAATTATAAAACCATTAGAATAGACACTTAATTCCCTAGATGATAAAAAGGTGATTATTTGTTCAAGCTGAAACCTTCAACTTCTTATTATTCTAGTCAGGCAAAGTACGCAAAAGAGATTATTTCCTTATTCTAGTCAAACTGTAAGACTAAAAAGTAGAGAAATGTAAAACAATAAAAAAATAATCAAAAGTATAGATGGTAAGTTCCTTAGATAGTTAGGAAAAAGAAGGATATCTCAAAAAAATTGACTTCTAATAAGAAGAGATTTTTAGTAGAGATTCTTTGAAAGATATAGAATATTTTTATTTTTCTTTTTTCATTTCTCTTTTTATATAGTGTACTTGCACAGTTTTAGATATTCTCTTTTTCTTTTATTTTTTATTTTTCCTTTTATAGTTTCTCAAAAACAGTTACTTGAATAATAATAAATAGTGACAACCTGTTAGCAAAAATGAGTAAATTAAAAGTGTATTCATTCAAAATCTATTATGAAGTGAAATATTGTTTCTAAGATTGTACTTAGAGACTAAAACTTTTTTGAAAATTGAAAACTATTGACAAGTATGTCAGTACAAATTTTTAGTTTAGCTATGATGATGCAATTGTCCTATATATTTCTATTGATTTTTATAATGATTGATAAACATACAGTGCTGATTTAATCATAATTTAAAAATATATATATTGTATATATATATATTACTGTATATTGAAAAAGTTTTTTTAATGAAAATAAAAAAATTTTTTAAACTTTGCTTAATTAAAATAAAAATTTATTGTTTTTATTTTAATAAAACTTTTTATTGTTTAAAAACTTAATTAAATAATAAAAATCGACTATTTACTTTATTTTTATTTATTTTTTAGAACTTAATTAAAAAAAAATTTTTATAAAAACTTTTTTTTTTCTAATTATTAATAATAATAATAATAATATATTTTTTTTTAAATAATCTCCTGTCAGGCTAGTTATATATACTTTATTAAACAATCGTATACTATATATTATATATATATTACTAAAGCTAAATCTCTAATTAACTTACTCATCAAAGTCTTATATTTATCTAGGACTTTAAGTGCAACTTTGAAAGTGATTTATCACTCATTAGTAGTAGTTCAGGTAGAAACCCTTCTAACTTCTAACATCATTGTCTGCAGATCACGGCTGTGGATATTATCAATAATATTATTAAAATATACTAATATAATTAATAAAAACTTATTTATATTTTAAAAACTAGATCTGTGGATCAATAGTGCAGTGGGTGCACTTCTAGGTCATCATCGCGAGTTACTGCTTCAATCCTATCTAGGAACAGTTTCCGCAATATAGGTTACATTGTACAAGATATATGCTTATCACTATATGTACCCTTGTATTTATAAATAGTCTATAGATTTTTATCGTCTGACCATAATATAAAAAATCCAGGTCATCCATACCTTAGTTAGTTTTAGTGCTAAGGAAATCCTCAATAAACCTGCTACCTGGAATATGTAAGGATCCAAAACAAGCCAGGAAAAATGCCAATTAGCTTAAAGTCTTTTAACAGATATAGGACGGATATCCAACTTTTGTCAAAACTACACCCTTTGGGAAATAAGAGAGACTACGGTCATTTGTACCTGTTGAAAATATAACGGGTCGTAACAATAATTAATGGGAGATCTCTATGATCATGAAACCAATGGCTACCCAAAAGAGGATAGCCATTGCAGAGGCTAGTGGTTAGCATTAGCATCATGTTGGGCAATCTGCAGGAGCAGATCCTGAGAGAAGAAATTTAGAAACAATCATCAAGGTAACCAATCCAATGGGAGAAGCAATCTGTTACGAAGTAATCAAGTGAAACTCCTATAAGGTCAACTTGCAAGAGTGGTTAAAAATGAGGCAAAAGAAGGCTATATGTTACCCAATTACGTGACATTATTGAATCACCTGGATATCAAGAACATGGCCAGAGACTTGTGCCTTCTAAGTTTCAACTAGCATGTAAAGGATCCAAACATGATAGGGATCATCCATGATACTCATGATTATCAGCGATATACAAACCCCACTAAGGAATACACAATACAACCTCCTGAAGATTATAAAAGAAGTCTATAGTAGAACTTTGATATGCTATAGTTCCAGGCAAAGCAGGATAACTGATGAAAATGGTACCACTATGTGATAAAATTGATGGCTTAGCTAGGATAGGTAGTTAAAAATAAGGTTATATAAATTGTTCATATAATCTAAAAATGTACTACTGATTCCTCAATAAAGATTCATCCTGTCAGTTGGACTAGTAAAAAATATATATATATATATATTTTAAAAACTAATTTATTTAATATTAATCAATTATTTTTAATAAAGGTTATATTATTCAAAAATTTAAAATAAATAAAATTCTTTAAAAAATATATATATATATATAATAGTTTTAAAAAAATATAAATAATCAAAAAAAATCGAACACACATGGGACACATCTTTCAAGAGCTCAAAACAAAAAAGCTTTATGGTTAAAATGATGAATGATGAACTG